TCAGTCCTAATTGAACAAGTGCCTATGCATTCTAGAAAATTTGTCAGTGGGTCCAAATTGGGAATGAGTAGAACAAAACTGCCACTTTCCATGAAGAAGTTCTGCAAAATGGGTGTCAATTATTTTAAGTTGTTAGATCTAGAAAGACTGTTTTAAGACCATTTTGGTTGGAAGGTGCTATAAGCAGGACACAGATATTTAATCTCAGTTTGGGAAGCATTTATTATACAAAGGAACTCTCTGAATCACCTTTAACTGAGAAGGTCCTTGAAATTTAAGTTTTATGCTTTTTAAATTTGGGGGCCTGGAGATAGCCTGCTATCAAGAAATAAGGCCCTATTCCTAGTAGACCTGTGTTCTGACAATAATCACCCTTGCAGATTTTGTTTGTTGGCATACAAGTTGGCTATAATTATTGCAGTGATGTGAATTTTAAAAAGTACAGTATTTCTTCCTTTTAAAATTAATTTGGAAATGGGAGTTTTAAAATCAATCTTGTAATTCTTATGTCACTGAGGAAAATTACATGAGAACATGTCATTGTCTTATGATTTTTCCTGTAGTAGTTTTAGCTTAAGGGATTTTAATTGTCAAAGTGAAGACTATGCCACATTTCAATGATTACTACTGTCAAAGATGTTCAAATGCATCCCAACAAATTACTCAAGCAAAAACTTCCTCATTAAAAATAATTTTTTTTTGTCTTTGTCAATGAATGTAATAAGCAAGCTACCTGAGAAAATACCAGAGTGTTAATGCCCTAACTTCCCTTTAAAGAATCTAACCTTCACAGTTATTTGAAGCCACTTACCTCCTAGGGCTTCCTAATCTTACCTCCCTGGCATCAAAGAACTTAAAAAAAAAAAAAAAAAACGAAAAGAAAAAGAAAGTTCATATGAAAAACTACAAAAGCCTATCTTTGTTTAATAGGGAAGCTCTGTACAGGAAGTTGTCTACATTTTAAAAAAGTTTTCTACTTAAGTATATCTACTTCCCCCTGGAAGAAATCACCATTCTAGTTGATAAGTTATTTAATGACACCTTTATTTCTATCATTGTATGAAATCATGTTTCTCTTTCAGTTTTACATTTATTTTTAATTGTTTTAACAATAACTACCATCTACTGTATATGCCAGCACTATGCTGAGTGTTAGCATGCAGCATTTCTTAAAGTCTTAGAACTATATGAGAACTATGTAACTATGTAACCTCCCCATTCTGCCAATGAGAGGACTGAGCTAAAAGGGGGTAAGTAATTTGCTGAAGGCCAAGTTTCTATCAATTGAATGGGGGAACCAGGACTTGAACCCCATGGAACTGATTGCCAAACCCAAGTTCACCTCTGTTATATGACCTTTAGAGCTCCAACCAATATCCATTCAGACTAGGCCAGGTTGCTCCTCCAGTGTAAGGAGGTCATTAGGTGGAAGTTACTCGTTTCTTTGTTATTCTCCTCTCCCAATGCATACACTTCAATCATTTTACAGCTGATTTGACCCTCCTCCAAATAACCAGTCTTATCATTGTGATTAGCTTTGACAGCAAGCAGCACTCATTGAGCATCTGGTTATCATCTTTTTAAAAAGAAAGTCTTAATAAGCAATTGATTATTTATGGACTTCTGAGAACTGTAGGAAAAACTGACTTAATGTCATAAACTCCACTCTCTTCCTGCACCACGCTTGACTTGGTTGCACTATCACTGTTTGCATGCTCCCCTCTATAAATACAGTGGAAAATCCCATTAAGATTATTCTATCATTGGCTGCTACGATGCAACACATCTTTAATTCCCTTAATTGTCTCCTAAACTTCCTTTTTCCTTATTTGTTCTAAAGTTCATAATTACTGACTGATCTTAACAGGTCTGTTTTTATTGCTTATTGCTCTCATCAAGTGCGTGGAGCCATGTTCCATTGCTTATTACTGCAGATGTTATTTTATGGCGCTGCTCAACTACCTTGACCTTGCTTGGCCTTTCTATTTTAAGAGGTAAGTGAGAAGCTGAACTGGAACAGCAAGCAAGTCCTCTATGACTGCCTGATTTGTAGGTTTTCTATATTACTCTAATTCTTTGGGTGCAAATCTTGCAGCATGGAAACTTGAACTCCTGGCCCCAAACAGAGAAGCGAGTCTTACTTCTTTGTAGCTGTCTGAGTGAGGTTTACAGTTTGAGAACTATTGTCCCCTCTGTTTTTTTGAGTAAGAGCGATCCAGACTTGGAGAAATCATTTCTAGGGCCCTCTTCTCATTTGGTGAGGAAGAGTATTCTGAGTTCTTCTGAAGCTGGAT